AAGAAGGTCGCAACTACTGGTCAGATGACCAAAACCGACCACATCTTCATCATTTTCATGGCGTTGGTTCATACACGAATGCTGGAACCCGAGCCAAGATTCCAGTTCTGCTTAGTGTGTACCACGTTCATCATGCGACTTGGCGGGGTTCATCAACGGTATCGCCTACAGGCTGATGTAAGCAAACTGGTAGCACCTGTAGCTCTCCGAAGCACCAAGGATAGCTAGCAACTCTTCAGATAGTATAGATGGACACTGGTTACATCATCAAGATGTTATGAAAATGACAAGTAAAGCTGCTTGAAGCTTAAAAGAATGCTTCACTAAAAACCACTGGGTTTCCGTGAGTTCCTTGCAACTTCTGGATGCGCACCAGTCGATTCCGGAAGACGGCGAGTGTAATAACATGACAAAGGCACTTACGCATAAGATCAAACAGTGTTTGCGTATGGACCGTGGAAGCTGGTGGTTAAAATTGTGTGTGTGTGAGAGAGAGAGAGGGATAGAGGTGGCATCAGCAGTTGCATCTGAAAATAACCGGAAGGTATTCCAGTTAATCTGAGCCACCGGTAGAAAGAAGCATGATGTCATCGCGACACTCTGTGGGCCATACGACACACTCACTAGGAACACACTTCAAGAAGCGAATTCTCTGAGCAACAGCGCCAACATACCACTGACTATATGATTTATGGTATGTCAATACCGACCTACCAGTCAAAGCATATATCCGAAAGAAAATTCAAGTGTTGAAACAGTTTAAGGTACTTAGCCAAAACAAAATACGTCCGGTTCTTTTTGAAGATGATAGTGAGATTCTCGTCATGGCACTGGTTGAAGTGTTCAGGAAAGTGTGGGAAAGTGAGAATGCTCCGTGAATGTGGAACAGAGCCATCATCGTGCCCACCTTTTAAAAGGTCTGGCTTAATTCATGCGACAACCTTCAGGGTATTGGTTCACTATCGGTCGCATCTAAGATATTGGTTTCTGTCTCATTCTTCAGGTTGCGTACGTTGGATGAGAAACTGATTCGTGGAAAGCAAGGTCGGGTTTGGCTAAGTTGTGGATGCGTTGATCACATGTTCACACATTCTTCGTCAGTTGCTAAATCAGTATCACTCATATTGTAGGCCAACAACTGTTGCTTCTTCATATTTGTGCTGCCTTCTATTAGCTGTACAGAGGTGTCCCTAGGAATTGTTTGCGGGAGCAATATTTTCGGGGAGTTTATCAAAATCCTGAAAGCCCTATACAAAAGTACCTCAGGTAGAGCGACGTCATGCAACCAGCTATGAACTTTGTCTTTAATCAACAATGGGGTTAGACAGGCTTGTCTGACCTCATCGTTTCTCATTAACTTTGAAATCAGTGATATTCTGGAGGATGTTTGTAGTGGTGGTGTAAATGTGATACCCGAAAAAAGATATCGTCTTACTGTGCGGTAGCTTGCAGTCTGCCCAAAATGCAGTTAGTCAGTTTGCAATCACTGCTTAAAAGTAAGGTATGTGCTTATTTTATCTGAGTGCTAGATATTTATGTAACATTGGGAGTCTGTACATGAGTTTACCCTCGATGATGAACTCTTCAAAGTAGTCGCTAAGTTCATTTTTTCAGGTAGTTTTGTGACTGCTGGTTCAGGTGTGACGGAGGATCTTTAATCGCATGGTGAAGACCAGGATAGCATACATCAACCTGGGCCAAGTCTGGTCCCGTCGAAACGTCAACCTGACTACCAATAGTCAGATTTTGGTGTGCGCAATCTTGTCCAACTCCTGTGAAACTTGATTTCTCTGAGCTGAGGATGTGCGGCGAATCTGACTATTCGACCATCGCCTCCTCCGTAGAATTGGTTGTGGCCGCTGGCATCATCATCTGATTTCGAAGTCAAGCGCCGTATGTTTGGAAACGGTAGATATAGTCGTTCGTTATATGTTGTTATCCTGGAACACTGACTTCAGTTGCTTGGACACATGCTACGAATGTCATTCTAGAGGCTCCCATACTGCCGCTGTTCGCCAGCCCTGAGACTGGATGGACAAAGCTAAGGGGTGGCCAGCCCATGGTGTGGCGTTGTGGGTTGAAGGATAGTTGCGTTAAAGTCAGCATGTTTTGGGGAATCACAACTCCCTGATGAGTCCGACAGATAATTCGAATCAGTGACTCGAGAATTTGTCAGATATGGCTGAGCATCGTAATCACTGGTGAACATGGTGCAATTTCTTCTGTCCTTCTCTTCCGGAAAGTAACATGAAGTGATGCCCCTGCTTTGAATGCTGTTATTAATAAGTATGCTTGTTTTTCAGATGGTGTCCCTCCTTTATTCCATTTCCACTTCCCTTTTATTATTTTGTGTAGTGCATCTCTTGGAGCTCATAATTTACCATTTGACATTTGAAGTAACGGGAAACGATAGAATGTTAGTATATACTTAAACCTGAGATGAAGCACAGAAACTGAAAAACCTATTTTCGAGCAAGTAGACTGGGAAATACCTCCCACCCACAAAGGTGACATGGAAGTGGCTGAATCCAAACAGAAACTTGCAGTCTGGTAATGTAGTTCTGGTGAGTAATACTGGTACATCCAGAAGAAGCAAAAGTCAATAGCAAAGTGGTTTCGACAGCTATTGAGATAGTCAAGTTAGAACTACCAGTCTAAATAGGATAACCCTAGAAGTGATTCGTATTTACTAGAAAAAGAGTGGTCGCTTCGCAGGGAATGTTACTTATCACGGATAAATAGTCAGATAGTTTATCGACCAGATTTCACCTCCATCATATTAACCATGACTTACATTTAGACTTTCATGTGACTTTTCAAATTAGTCGTGTGTATATGATCACAAATGAAGTTAAAATCAGAATCTCCGTCGTCAGTAGTAACCATGGTGATTAGGAGCTCTGTAGGTAAATTAAATCCTACAATGTTTCGGACAATAATTGTGTTATAGGAGGAACAATAAAATGGCAACCTCATGACAGAATTGTCTTCATACTCAGAAAGGAGTAGTGCAGTATATGAAAATGATGAAAATAAAATAGTGAATAGAAGGCAAAGTGCATACAAGAAATGAAGTGGGTAATTATGCGCTTTTGCTTAAGAAAAAAAACTTGGAAGGACTATGAAAGTCATGCTTGGAAAGCTTCTGTCAACCAAGAAAAAAATAGGATGGACTATGAGTTTTCTTCTCTATATAAAATCAATATCCGTCTCAAAGATTAGATTATGGAAACGATACCTTAAGTTTTGGATATTCTTGAAATCGAGGTCATTTAATTCGACAGTAAACCTGTAAATTACTGACACCTTAAAGAAAATTTGAAGTCTCGTTTGGTAGTGATTCTATAAAATATTTGATTCAATAGTATGGAGAGGCTATGGAAGTCATTGTACATTTAGTCCTGCTTGAACTGGAAGAAGTTTATAATAAGGCCTTGGAAGTGCCTACAGAAGACTTCAGATAGAAGCATGTTGTGACTCGTACGTTAACAGGCGAGTTTTCAGCTTTTCCAAACAGCAAAAGAGATCATGCAACGTCGTTGAAGAAATTGTTGCGTCAAATTCAAGCGTTTGACCTAACACTCCAGCAAAAGACCATAATTTTGATTCGAGTACTCGAAAGGCTATTCGGAACTTAATCTTGAAACTCCCTAAGCATTCAAAACGTGAATGGATAAAAACTGCATTTTAACACTACCGAAAATAGCCTTGAGCAGTTGTTCAAAGAACTAAACTTGTTCGTCATAAAGCGATCGGATGTTGTCAGTGCAAAGCTTGGAGTGTAAGAGATAATAAAGAACTTAATAGTGACTTGATTCATACTCTAGATCTTAGGTCATTGCGGTTCAACTTTCAGACTCCTATGTCAAAGCATTATTAATAATACTCGTTTGTTCTACCATGCATTTACTAATTGGAGGATACTTTCTTAGACTAATGTCAATAATCTAAAAATAAAAACATTAGTCAACGTCTAAATTTCGTTCTGAATAGATAGAAAACCATGTAGTGTATGTCCAAAGGAAAACAGCTTAGTAAAAAACTACTCGTTACCAAAATGTTGTACAGTAGGAGGTTACGGATGGGTGTAATAAACCATTAGCATCAGCTTTGTGTCAAGCTGGTACCTCTGTGATTATCAGAACATTTGTTTTATTCCTAATATATTGAGGTGATTAGCAGCATTCTTATGGAAGTCTTAATTTTCAATACACTAAATACTACCCGAATTATTTGAATCAAAAGCTATCTACATTTCAAGCGCTTCTCTATTTTTGAGACACCTTTCGCAATCTCGGTTAGTGTCGATGAATTGATATCTACTTCTCATTCATGTTGCAATCTATTATAGGGACATGTTACTCTGCAAGTGTCGATAACGAGAAGAGTTTGAGAACTATGTGTTGGTTGTGTCAATATATGCCATCGTTCTAGCCTTCTTCGACATTATTTTATCATTCACGTGCAGTATCCGCATTCATAAATCAACATTGTTTGAACTCTGGAATAATTATTACTATGATGTTAATCGTATTGGCAGCTTTTCACATAAGTTGTAGGTCCTAATCAAGCATCTTTTATTTCATTTATGGTAGATAAGTAATCATAATGAATGTGTAAAGTATATGAAAATATTTCTTAGTTTGGATTTTGATGTTAAGCACAAGTCATGTTTTGTCAACTAATTAGTCTTGTCTGATATGACGTATCACGTTACATTGCACCACCCTAGTGGTGACAATCATCAATTACAGTTCTGTCAGCTGTAAGCAATAGATGGAATACTGCTAGCACAGTGAATCTCTTATTGACTAGCTTAAGATGTTATGTTACTTCTATCAGTTGAACAGCCCGACAAATGACTAATACAAACACCACTGAAATGAGAAACAAGTAATTATCAGATTTAATTTATGCCTGCCGGATTCACAAAATATTAAAATGAAAGTAGGAAATCTTTTCCTGGCTGATGCACGATAGTATAGAAATAAGTGGCTTACCCGATAATTCCGGTTTCACAGCATCGTTTGATTCAAGTGATCCCCGATAACTTGGAGGAAAATAGCTAAGAGCATTGTGAAAACCATCGGTATTGGTTGCCATTTTTTCGTACACTAGATCAGGATCTAATGAATAAGAAATTAAGCGCAAATCAATCTAGTAATAAAAAATAATAAGATAACTGGGCATTAATACATAATAGACTTGTGCACAATACATACATACCTTGTAAATTAGAAATATAATCGTCTATTTGAGGTTCATTTGCTATATGATCCTTGTTTAAAGGGAACTCTAATCACTAATTTATCTGCGATGACAGTATATATTTATTACTGGGAGAATTTCATGAGTGTACTTGAGAGTCCTTAGATTTGATTCAACTAGTTAGCTATCAACCTTCTGTCGTTTCTATAATGCCAACTTGAAATGATGACATCCGGTGACGAAATACAAATTTATGTATTAAACCACGAATCACATTTAGTGTCACGACTAGAATAGGTGGAGCGGCTGTGCACTAGAAAAATAACAACGAAAAATTCTTTTCGTTGTGAGCTAAGCTATTACCATTATTCCTCTAAATGTATCTACAATATTATGAATTTCAGCTGGTGTGAGAAATCTCTGCTGCACTATTGTTTTAAGGGAAATGATGTTGTGGTTGTCAGTAAATTCATATCACATAACTTCTGTGCACCTCCTCTTTATTCATGGCTATGAGATGTGACAACATGAAGTGATGTGATTTTGTGTACAGTTTTACAACAGAAACACAGCTGCACACTTCTCTGGACAAGTTATTATTACATCTCTCTTTGAGGAATTTACAATGCTCTTCTCTTAAAAGTTAGTGGACACCACTTTGGGTTGATACACCGGCGTCAACAATAGAAATTAGCTTGTAGTACCTAAGTTCCCAGCTATCCTATCACTCTTTTCGCCATACACAGGAATCCATCGCATGTAAATGAGACCTAAATGTCGCTAGGATGTATATGTCACCGCAGTCTGAAGAATTTACCAAGCCATCGTGTGATTAGAAAAATAAAAAGCGTGACTCATATGTTTGTCAGTAAAAACACCAAACATTCAACTATATGTCTAATTGGACAGTCTCTAGAAAATCGACTACTACTCAGATGATCTTCGTTGCAAACCAATATCGAGTTTAAGGCAACTAAAAACTGATATCAGGTAAGTGATACAGATTGTGCATAAACTTATATGTATATATATCCGGGTGTGCCTAGCTGCTAACCGTCTTCAGCTGCAGACTACTGGAAGAGAACGTTAGGTCCTCCGGAGTGTCGTAGGCGCGATTATTCCAAACTGAAACGAAACATCTTTCCAGTGACTCCAGTTCCTTAGTGGTTTCCCAGTAGATGTTATTTTCCGACGAAATTCATCTCTATATTCAATAAATCTCCACAAGCCCAACTAATTTGCTTCTTCACAACATAATAGTTTTTTTTTTTTCCTTCACGTTCCCCAGTGGAACATAGGGCTCCAAGCTAATGGCTTGAAGTTTCTGTAGCAGTGTTTATTTTACAGGATGGGGTTGCTAGCCTCATGCCCAACCTTTCCTCTTCACCACTATTATTTCTGGCTCAACGAGGTAAAGGAGTGCGTCGGCCGGGGATCGAACCCCGGACCATGTGCATGGTCGGCGAGCGTCCTAACCGCTATACCACCGACGCACCAACATAATAGTAAAAATCACTAAATAAATATTCTCAAAACTTACGGTTACAAAGTTTCTTCAAATGTGTTATCGATGCTAGACTTGACACCGATAGTTTTGACTCATCTGCATTCATTTTTAAGGCAACTTCACGTGCCATCCTCTTCACAAAATCTGAATAAACTTCACGTTGGCCTGACACTAAATTACAGCACACTACTTGTTCAACTGAGACAATAATAGAAAATAAGAAACAAACAAAGACTGCTAAACATCATGTATACCAACTGAAAGACATGACTACTTAGAAAAAAATCATATCAACTAATAGCGCTTGCGATGAGGGGATGAAATGTACACTAGAAGGCTATCTGGCACCATTGGAGCCCAAATTACTAGTAGCGTACCTAGATGAACTCACTTCAGAGAACTGAATTAGTTCAAATCAAGCTAATTCTATCTGGCTGCTTGGGCAAACTTGTGACAAATGAAATGAAATTATTTATTAACCACGTAAACAGCCTTACATGAAATTTCACCATGGTTTCTCCTTTGAAAATTTAAAACGTTTGCACTTTTGGGCCGCTAATTCATTTTACTCTCTACAACTAAGTTAAACTCTGTAGGAAACTCAACCTCCCCCCCCCCCTCATTTCATCATACAGGCAAGGAAGTCGAGTAAGAACCGAATCCCATTTTCTTTTACGACGGTGTCGCGTTAACCAATTACTAACCGAATGATAATCAGTGTCTTCCTTTGTAAATCTGTTTTTAAACCGAATTCCAGAGAATAAAGAAAAATAGCAAACAAGGTGAATGGTTAAATGCAAGATACAATGTCATTCGCCCATCGACTATGATGTCTGGTGCATTTTATGAGTCATTTACTATAAAAAACACTGATGGCATAGCGCACCCCAACAAACATTTGTATAATTAAAACTCAATAGTAAATCTATGCTAAAGTTTTACTGACTGGACTAAATAGTAACATTGAAAGACACAACTAAAACTATCAGTTATTATACACAAAGTACTGGATTACACAAAAGTTAGTCACACGAAAAAAATACATATTTCAAAAACATACTTTTCACAGGCAAATACTTCGTCAAAAGAGCTTGAGTTCGACGAATAATACATCGTGTCACAATACCTAAAAGCTTTCATATCAACGATAAAATAACAATAATAATAATAACAATACATTTAGTCAGTCGAAACAGAAAAAGCGAAATAAGTATATAAATAGACATAAAAGACCATCTACATTTTAACAAGTACAAAGCGTATTAGATAACAAACAACAAAGGAACAGTTGATGTCCAATATGACAGCTTAATGGGAGGCTGTTATAAACTATCGCAATGCGGCTGGATGACTTAGGACCGAGAACATACGTTTTTCGCAACTAAATTGCAATTTTGATTTGTTCTTAAAATGATATAAAGATAGATGTAAATGTTTATATCTTTATATCTATGAACCGCCCCTCACAGAATCTGTGGACTGACGATATTTACAGTGCAATCAGTAACTCTGACTGTTTCAAGAGAGTCAAAACTAACGTAATGACTAGTTGATTCATATCACAACAATACTAAACACCAATGTAAAGGAATAAAGATAACAGCTGGAATATAACGGTGCGTGTTTCAACATATAAGTATAACTTCCAAAAAGTATGCTGTATAACTTGCGTTAGTCATAGCGAAATTACTAGAGCACACAACTCCACTCTAAAATACTGACATTAAGTAAGTTGTAATCATTTTTCCTGCTGAAAATGTACTGTCATAGTGATTTGAAGCAAATTCTGAAGCAATATATTAGTTGAAAGTGATAATTAGTCTCTACAGTCGAAAAGGTGATTCAACACTGCTGAATATAGACAAATAAACATTCACATATGAAACCATACTTCTTGTAGTATTTCTTCCCCCTTCTTTTGATCTTCATCAGTAGCATCTGCATCACGTCCACGTAAAATTGGTATTTCATAACGACGCCTGAACTCATTAGCCGTACCCAATAAACCCATATTGACAAAGTGTACCAGGCTAAAATATTCAAGCAGATCATTCTGAATAGGAGTCCCTGATAGTAGCACACGACGTGGACAATTTAACTGTACCAGTGCTTGGTATGTCTGGTTTTCGGAATTCTTCAAACGGTGACCCTGTTCGAAAGTAAATACAAAGGAAATGTAAAGCAACATAAAATCCTCTTTTTACCTTAAAATTGTAGGCTGAACGACTACCATACAGGTAATTAAATTGGTGTAAAAGTTCTGCAATTTGACGTAATGTCACCAGATGAACTTATTAATTTAAGGATTGAAAATTATTTTGTTTTCAACCCTACATTGATTAGTTACAGTGTCACACACTGGAACTTAACATAGACGAAACAAATAGACCAGGTCTCTACATAAATCATTGTACAGTCTTCACTTGATCCAAATAATGCTCCATAAAGCAATTGTCTGTCCACTGGAACACTAAACTACCACTTGTGACCAGCTGCTATATGTTATCTGAGTAGCAACCAACAGCTAGTTAATTTGCTGCTATTCCAGAAATTAAATGGGTTTTTCAAAATTTTATTTCAATTTATGTACGATGTAATAGAACTCACAACAAACAAAAAGTAGCCATATAGCTATTTTTCGAAATCTTCTGCCTGTTAAGTTGAACAAGTAAACTCCAAGAGATAAACTTCCAATTACAAATTTACACAGTTTCCATAAAACATCAAGTTTTGGCAAAACATGTTATCAACTCCAAGGACAGAGGTAATAATGGTGTTAGTAATTCACATACTTCCTGAAATATTACTGCATTAAAATATTCAATCAAAGAGTCCAGTTGTAGAATTTACACTAGAAATAACATGCCTTTAAGAGATATATATGCATATATATATATATATAAAGTGAAAGTAAGGATCCTCCTTTGGATCGCGTCGACGGTCATTCTGTCTGCATAAGCACAGTTACGATAAATGAATAATTTACAACACACCCAAAACTTTAGTAAAAAAGAAAAAGAAATGCTATGAATACTATACGGTTACAATAAATTAAATGCCATTTGTTTTTCAAGAGACCGGAATTGAAAGCATAAGAAAAGCTCGCTTAACTTATATGAATAAATTGACTTGTAAGTGTTTTGTGTATAAAATTCTGATTAACACATATACAGTCAGGAGTAGCATATACCGTGAGTAACAATAAAATTACCTCATCACAAAGGACAAGACCAACAGAACCCTTGTGCAGAACAGATGCGTGCAATCGAAATGTTTCATAAGAGATAATCAAAACTGGTGATGGAATTCTACGACCAGTTTGAGAGAGAAAACAAGCTGTAACATATATACAAAACAATAGTAATAATGATAATAAGTTTGAATAATACCATAAAGCTTAACAATGTATGAATAAAATTACTTTGCTTTACAAAATGTTTACATTTCATCCAAGGAGAATAAATGAGTTATTCGTCGAATGGATTGCTCCTCACTCCTATATGAATGATGATGGGGGTTTTACCAACACCATATATTGAGAAATGAGTATTATCTCCTAATTAAAATACGAAAATATAACTTCATAGTTTACACGCTAATATCATTATAATAGGCTGGTAACACTTCCGATCATCTTGAAAATTATCAACATTTTAACCAACCATCATTAAAATACTTCTTCTATAACATTCAAGTTCATCCAATTTACTATTCGACTTTGATTACCTTTTTGTGTTATCTTTAAGTGTGGTAGCTTAAACTGATGCACTTTTGCGCAAATTTTTAACGATATATATCTTCTAATGTAAAGATTGCATTCAAATTAGTGAAGTGCATATATATATATATATATATATATATATATATATATATTCAACAATAACCATCTTACCTAATTTGCTGTCGATTTCATCTTTACTCCCAGAATCAATAGCCAACGGATTTACCTTTCCGTGTAACCATTTCTGAAATTCATTGTACCAATTTCTTAACAAACTGCTAGGTGTAACCACCACTGCTTTATCAATCGTTGGTTTACCTTCAGGACCTTGACGCTAAGGAAAATGACGGAAACAAGTAGAAAACAAACCAGTGATTTACTCAACGAATTCCACCGTATTGTTAAATTAAAGAAGTGCAATCATTCTTAGCTATAACATAATCGAGATCTCAGCATCCGGGCATTAGTCATTCACAGAGCACTAGAATCTATCAAATCAATTTGGATGCCTTAAGCTTCCAGCTATGTTCGCTCAATACTCAAAATCAGATGGTCAGAAAAGGTCAGAAACAGGGATCTCTGGGAACGGACCAATCAGGAACCAATTGTGTACCAAATATGCAGGAAGAAATAGAGGTGAATTGACCATACTCTGAGACAACCATCAGGTTACATCACACGCTTGGTTATCGATTGGGTCCCGAATGGTGAGCGGCAAGTTGGTCGTCCGAGGGTGACATGGAAGAGGTCGATTGAAGAGGAGATGAAAGCATGCGGATAGACGTGAGCCAGTTTAAAACATTGGCGGAGAACCTAACACAATGGAGACATGCAACTGAAGCCCTATGTCCCTCTAGGAACTAAAGAAAACAATAATAATGATTATGAGCATCCATGAAAAACAATTTCAAACATGACACAATGATATTTACAATATGGTGTAGAAGTGCTCGGAATCCGTGAGACCAGATGGAATGGATAAGGACTGTCAAAATTTTCAACTGGAGAGTCAGTAATCTACTCCCGTCTGGTCACTCAGACGACAACCATGAACACACTGAGGCAATAAGTAGCTATCGTGATGTCATCAGTGGCAGTCTAAGCCCTAATGCAGTGAAAAACAGCTTCAACCAGCAGCATAATCACAGCAAGATTCAACTCAAAAGGAATGAAGACAAGTCACAATTATCCAGTACTACAAACAACTCAGAACAACAGAAGAAGAAGAATGATTTCTCTCAGCAACTACAAACAGTAATCGACAACATCCCGATCGGAGACATCAAAATCCTCATCGGCGATATGAATGCAAGTCAAGCTGAGAGCAGACAATACAGGAAGACAACTCATCATCAGTCGAGAGGCTCTCGATCCGACAAATGAATCAGAGCAGAGAACTCTTCACAGACTTCTCAGCCTTCAATGATTTCGTGATCAGAGTCACAGTGTACAGGCACAAGGTTATACACAAGGCAATGTGGATTTCACCTGACACACACACACACACCACAAACCAGATAGACTTCACCTCAACATTGCTCAAGAAAGTGGAGACGCAGCCAGCTTGTTGGATACAAAGTCCAGAAGGGCAGCACATGTGAGCTCACTCACACCATCACCTAGTTCAAGGAACCTTCGAGATCAAGCTGAAATCTTCCAGAACAACTCGAGACAGACCACAATTCACGTTCGACACTCAGAAACTGAAGGACAAAACTACAAGTGATAACTTCAATACACATCAGATAAGAGGAAAGTCGGAGCACTACGTGGCATCACTGAGGAAACCTGTGTGGAAGAACATTGGAACTAACGCTCAGAAGGCGATATTCAAGGGAACATGTACCACCATTTTAGGAAGAAAGAAGAGACAAGGCAAGCAATAGATCTCTATTGATACCTACCTGGAAGCGAATAGAGCACAGGAGACGACAGGAGAGGAGAGAAGGATGGTGAAAGAGAAGATGACTCAATGCAACGGTGGACAGCAGAGAGAGAAGCTGAGTTCAATGTATGCTGCACTGAATCAAGAAAGAAGTGAAGGAGGGTGATAGGAAAGACAAAAGTCAATTCTACGACACTGGCTGGCAACTGAAACAGAACAGACCATAGGTAAAAAAGACCTCAGAACACTACATCAGATAACCAGGACTCCATCGAGTAAAACATCAACCCAGATGATGAAACCAATAAAAGATACTCAAGGGAACCTCATTTCCAAGCAGGAGACCCAGGAAACTTATCATCTTAAACACTGATGCAAGTAGTGTAACAAACACTGATCATAATTAGACTTTATTACCACGAAAGTGATGTGCATTCAGTTCAACTACAACAAATAGTGGAGATGATACACATCAACTTACTAAGCCTGAATTTAGAGACTGAATGACTTAATACACATATACTAAAGTTTAGTACTACAAAACAGAAACACAGACGTCTGGTTTCAACCTAGCACAGATAAAGACAGAGGTACCTACCTAGTTTTCAGCAGATTCTGGTTGATGTAGGTCTGCAGAAACTACCCCAAAATGATTTATTTAGTATCATAGGTGCAAATAAGTGTTTCGAATTCAACTGATGGAAATACTAAAATCAATATTGATTAAAATTCTCAACTGACTTCAGTATAACGCTACAGTCTCAGAGATTTCAGTCTCGTTAGAAACTATCACTTCTTACCATAATTGGCGAGATTAAATTCTAGCTTCGTTGACCAATAATTCTTTGAATCAATAATATTTATAACAGCTTCATTCTCAACAATGCACTGGATACACAACTCCACCCGGAAGATTCAGGGTTTGCATTCAGGAAAAGCAAATCATGTGCTGACCACATAGCAACGTCAAGCATCATCATCGAACAAAGAGTACAATGGCAGTCAAATTGCTACCTCAGTTTCACCAACTTTGAAAAACCCTTCGACAGCGTTGATCACGAAGTAATTTGGAAACTACTTCAACACTATGGCGTGCAGTGCCCAAGTCTTTATCAACATCATTCAACAGCTGGCAAGCCATATGACAATGTCACGTGTCAGCTGATTCAAAGCGAGAAACTCAGTGAGGCGTTCGAAGTGAGTACAGGAGTAAGACAAGCTGGCTGTTTATTATTACACGTAATGATATTACTGATTGTGGTGGACTGGATTATGCGCCAGACTGTGTGTTGGGAGCGAGGAGACATGAACACGCTGGACCACCGACAAGAAGACTCTAGAAGATCTGGATTTCACGGAGGATTCAGGTGTGATGTCACACAAACTAGAAGACTTGCAGGCGTAAAGCAACCAAACTGACAGAAGAAGCAGCCGACGAAGACAGGACTGCAGGTGAACACAGAGAAGACGAAGGTGGTTAAGAAAACCAACCAACCAACAGCAGCAACAACAACAACCAGCACTGACTACCATCAACGGTAGATGTTTGACAGAGGTCACTTCCTTCACTTATCCGACTAGGAAGCACAGTTTCAAATACACGCAGTCGGAAGGGATGAAGATGTCAAATCCAGCCAGCCAGAATTGGTAAGGCAAGATACGCCTCCATCAACCTGAAACCGGTGTGGAGATCTTCTGTACTGCACTCCGCCTCAGCATAAAGAACAAGATTCGGATTTCCAACACAAATATGAAATCAGTTCTTGCATACGGGTCAGAAACTTGGCGAGCGAGTCACGAAAGGGATTTCCAGCAGGCCACTGCAGACTTTCATCAACAGCTGCCCACTTCCCTGGCTCCATACTGAAGATCAAATGGCTGGCCAGAAAGAATTAGCAGCAAGAAACTCTGGGAACAAGCCAGCCAAGAGCCGATTGCTCAACAGATATGTAGGAGAAAATGGAGATGGATCGGGAATACGCTGAGGAGACCGTCGAGTGACATCGCGCTCAATGCAGGCCATTATTCGAGTGGAACCCGAGAGGGAAACAACGAGTTGGGTGTCTTAGAGTGAAATGGAGGGTATCGTGCGTGGAGAAGATGAGAGCTTACGGGTAATTGCTGGGTCAGCTGAAGAGGACCGCAAAGAATAAAACAAAGTGGACATGTGCTGTCGAAGCCTTATGTTTCACTCGTAACACAAGGGAACAATAATAAAAAACTTTAAAAGATTGCCACGATGGTGGCTTCATTCTACATTGATGGAACATTTTCACTTTCCCACATGTTCGCAGATCATGCAGTAAGTGTCGTGACGAGAATCTCACAATCATCATCATCATATTCAAGGTTGTCTCGGTCGAGAGAGAGCTACAGGTGCTACTAGTTTGCTTACATCAGCCTGTAGGTGGTACCGTTGATGAACCCCGCCAAATCTCATGATGAATGTGGTACACACTAAAGCATGTGCTGTAGAAGTTGCAGCAGTCCTGTGTGCATCTACACCATCGTAAACAGACAGAAATCTGATCAATCTGAGTTTACGCCTGAAGGGCAGGGAAACGACGACAGCTGTGCCGGGAGTTAGTGCTGATCTGCACAAAGCTGCAGAAGGTGGTTTCGAAATGTAAATGATAGGGCACATACAGTTTAAAAATAAAGCTAATATAAATGAAACCACTTATTCCACTGCTCTAAATCTAGTCCCATATACTTTACTTTTAGTATGTGATGTAAAGTTCGCGCAGTAAAATATATTTGTTGCGATGTCCTGTTTAAAGTAATAGACTACTGATAAGATCTCTGTTCAAATAAGTAAGCAAACTGACTATATACTAAGTAATAGGATGCACAGACGGTACTTTTCACTCAAACGGTTCTGTATCCCTTTTGACGGGTAAAACTTATTTCAAGCTTACACAACAAAAAAATGAGCATAATTTGGCGGTGCATACTTACAGTTTGGTCTTCGCCTACTGTTGGAAATCAAAGAGAAGGCCATAACATTTTTCTAGTTTACAATCATAGTCAATACTTAAAAACATTTTAGCGAGAATCTTTTAGCATGACCTATGTTAATATGTTTAATCGAAAAAGGGAAAATAATTTACCTACCAATAAAGTCCAAATAAGTGTAATACATTGCAAAGTCTTGCCAAGACCCATCTCATCTGCCATTATACATCCGTGGTTTTCTGGTATTTGTACGCCAGTGACACAATCGTACATGAACTTGACACCCTGAAAAATATTCGTTAGTTCTTAATCATGAAGTCTAAAAATATGTCCATATTGTAAATAAATGAATGTATACAGTTGAATAATCAGTAGTCTAAAGTGCCATTCCGCAGTTACAAAGACTTATAGCATGCTTGGAGTTACATTTAATGTAGGAGTTATTAAAACCAGTTGTCTGAATCCAGTTCGCGGAGCTAGTCTTCCATGTTCCAAGCTGTGAGCTACATTTATGGTGTGAAGGGTAATGGTACTACTCTGTTGGCCAGGTTAAAGTAGATGGTGCAGGATTTGAACCCGATACCTATTGGATGAAAGTCGAATGCTTGAGCCACACCTCTCCTTATACTAGTTATCTGTCTAATATTTTACGGGCTCTACTGCCTTCAACTATGGAAAACTGGATAACGAATTTTTAGACTAAGGAGCTAGAAGGAAACAATACCACAACTTAATATCAGCAAGACACATTACAACTCCTTGAAATAGTTCACACATTTGCAGCAACACGAAGAAAGCAAACGAGCACAACAAAATATTGCACTACCTAGATATAACAAAAGATTAGTAAGATACTGAGAATTTTGATTATCCGTCACTATGCTTTCCTAACCAACTACTCCCAAAGTTCACAAGATCCATTCTAACGACGATTGAAATTAATGGTAATCTATCTGTATTTCACTTGACACATCAAATTGCCAAATTAAAAGTCATTGCAGTCCCGAAAATACTCCAGCGAAACTGTGATTAGATTGAGTATCCTCAGAACGATTGACAAATTTTCGGAATGATTCATACTTTGCACAGTACAAACTGTATTTTGTGAGTAGGCATAAAGATTAAACAGACGTAGATAACCACGATCCCTAGTTTCCTTAAACACACTCACCTAGGCAGTATATGACTAAATAAATATTAAAAGGTTAGCTATCCTCTATAGCATTCAGTGCTTTTATGACCGTCAAACTCACAAAAGCCAATAATAGACACTGACCACTCATTTAATTCAACAAATGAACTGCTTGACATGAGCTTCACACAGGACTTCTTATAAGACCAGTTAGAATTCAAGGAGAATAGTTCGATGGTATCTGTACAGGGATAGTATAGGAAGAATAAAGGCGAGAATTTACGTAGTTTACTCACTTCACGCTGATGCGGACGGAGTATTTTAGACAACATCGGATCGACGACAACGTGCACTAGCTGCTTGGTTCTGAGGTATGTATTACAAATCAAATCCAAACTTACGATTCTTGTTTTAGGGCATCATGAGCTGTTACTTCAGGTGGTGAATACAAAACCAAGGCCCCTTCTTCAAATGGGTCATGCAGGGCTACTCTGGATGTACTTCGGCGTACACCCAGGGCTCTTGAGTCTGCTGAACCGCCTAAAAATAAATATATGATACAAAACCTTACCAGTATAATTAACCATGGGGACACGAAAAGGTTTCGACAGTATATCCCGGATAAGGTCTTCCTATAAATTGTTTCGATCAAAATCTTTCCAACATACATGAGAATTTGTGTCACATGGAGTGAGTGACTTTCTATAGGGGGAAACGAAGGTCGCTGGAGAGTGATCTGGCACATTCTTTTCATTCAAAACGGTCCTAGAGGATTTAAGTGGAGGCTGAAGTAACAGGTTAACATTAAAATCAAAATACCTCTTGGATAGCAGGGGAAACTTTTATTGAGTGTAATTGACTTGGCGCTAAACTCCTCCTCTTGTAAGTTTAAAAATTAGTAACATCACAAACCATAACATAACTTCACACTTCAAAATGATCAATCAGTCAGCACAGTATCAATAAACGATAATGCTGCACAGTTAACCTAAAACATAAATATAGTAGTAAATACCATAAAATCATAAAACACTAAAAGATATGGCAGGTAAACATGCTAATTCGTAAAACTGGAAAATACGCACGTTGGATTAGACTAAGATATGATGTTTGTATGCATCAACACTGACTAGCTGTCATGAAAGTAACAATCAGATAACGCACAATCAATAAACCATAATACGTAAACTTTGGCTTTCCTTACCCTATGTCTAACTAGCCAAGAAATAAAAAAGCCTAATGTCGTTTACGGATGCATATTGCATTACTAATGAGACGGCTTTACAGAAAGTGCGATTATTAACTTTGACTCCTTCATTAATGTTATTGTCTCACATAAGAAAGATAGTCACATTATATATTAATTAGGTGTTTTGGACAACTTATTCGTTTATTGTAACTCACTCAATTGGAAAGATGAGTATCACGGGGAGCTATTAGCTCCCAACAAAACATCAAAAGTCTGCTTATGACCTTGGAAACTCTGAACGTCTTTATTAACCTTCGCCTAACTACTAAGTCCCCATAGATGTTAATTCTGTTAACCTAATAGCTTGGAACTGCATTAGCCATTTTGGGTCAGATATTTGACTAAATGATGACAAACCAGAAGGATTTTCATTGCAAAATAGGCAGCAAACTGTTCACTTTGTTGGAGAGGGTGAGTGATTAGCGAAGGATATTTGACAACTGCTGTCTAGTAACAAGTAGCGGCATGTTAGGGATGATACCTGATTTGTGTAGATGCTGCGCTTCAAGTCTTCGGTTGAAGTTAGTCACTAAATTTGTAATGGTCCGTTTACTCGGATGGCATCGACATGTTCAATGCATGTCTACCTAGTGTACGTGAACACGCAGTACTAGTTAGAGTAAGAATAAGTTGGATAGAAATAAAATTTGCCCTCAACAAGAAGTGAACCCCATACGTATAGTTTCTGACTGTTCGTCTCAATCACATACTGGAAGGCAGGTTTCCCGTCTGGGATAGGAGAAAACTAAGATTGAAATTTATGATGCAACAAAGAGAACCCACCGTATGGTATTAAAAGATTCACAGAATTTTGAATTAAATACATAGTGCTTTTTGAGTTCCTTGTTCATTTGTCACAGTCCCACATATATTCATTTTTCTCCCATCCACTTTGATCACCCTATCACAGTTTCTTTTATTCTGAGCTGTGACTCCGTAAATACTATGCAGTAATGCTAGGTGCTATGATAGCATGTCTTGAAAAAACTATTGCTTCGAATTGGATTTCATATCCATGGAAAACAATGCAACAATAAATCAGGTAAAAACGAAGCGAAAGGTATGGTAGAAATGATATTCAGTAATTTGAAGACTTAAGGATGCTACTAGACTTAATATTTATGTATTCAGGAGTTGAGAAAAACTGTATTCACAGAACAAGAGTTATCTGACACGTCTCCAGGGCCTCCGAAATATGTGCCAGTAATGAACTATAGGAAATGGCTGAAACACCGTCTGACGTTTGATAGACAACCCAATAGCAATGTGGGTATCACTGGCAGAAACTATAGACTACGCTGCTATTTTACCAAAAGAAAACTCAATAGTTATGCTCCGAATAAACCCCGAAATGGTACTAGGGAAGTTGCCGAATTCTACCTCTGGAAAGTCCCCAGGTTGTGATGACATTCGGCCGCCTGTCCTAAAACAGTATACTGAAGTTGTCTGCAGGCCCTTATGTGATCTGTTCCAACACTGATTTGATTCAGGGAAACTGCCAAGGGAGTAGAAAAGAGTCAACCTTTCTTTTATCCCCAAAGATGGGGATTAGCAAAACTCGACGAGTTACAGATCAGAAACACTACTCCCAGTGGTATCAAAAGTACTAGAAAATTTTGTTGATGATCAATTTAGGCAGCACCTCGATAGCTCTGAAATACTCTATGAAGCACAACGAAGTTTCAGCGGGGTAAAACCCTGTGTGGCATTTATATTATGGACATTATGCTGGGATACGAATGTTCCAGCCCATTTGATTTATCTCGACTTCGCGAAGACATTTGACACAGTTCGGCATGATCTCCTCCTACACAAAATAAGTCAAAAGAGTACTGGTGGCCCACTTCTGTCACCGTTGGAGGAGAACGTAAACGAAAGAAAATCCCTCACCAAGGTCGATTGTGTCCAGTCATCCTGACAGAGTTCGTCGTCAGGAATATCACAGGGTTCGGTCTTAAGGCCATTGATGTTTCCAATTTTTATCAATAACCTGCCATTCCGTCTGAACTACCCAGCTCCTCTTTACACTGACGCAAAGATATGAAAAGTAATAATGGCCAAGAAAGACTCAGGTAGGCTACAGGTAGACCTAAAAACTATGGAAGACTAGGAAATGGTCGATGGTATAACTTTCAACCTGAAAAGTACAAAGTGGTGCAACTACGCATCTGTAGGCTGCAGAGTGTATGTTACTCCCTGTGTAACGTTCACCTGCCACGCAAAGCATCAGGCTGCAACTTAGGTCTAGTTCTAACGAAAATATGGACATAAATGTTACACAGGCGATACAACAAAGGCATATGTGGTTATACATTTTAAGCATTGACAGTCAGGTGCGCCTAATCCTGAGCTTTTTGTAAGGTTGTACAAAACATACGAAGGGCCTCACCTTGGAGCTGACAATATCATTGCTCCTCCATTATTCAGAATGGACGTTAAACTTTTGGAAAGAGTCCAAAGATGGACAACAACAAACCATCTAATGAAAAGCTAGAAAAATAAGGCCTTTCATGCTTAGCTAGTGTCGGCTTAGGGGTGACTTAATTACTGCCCACAAGATTACAAATGGCCGGAACTACTTATTAAATACGTATGGGCTTCCTTGTGGAAATCCACGAAGAATAGATCACCAGAGAGTAAAGAGTCGAGTGCGCTCCCATTTCTTTTTGCTTAGAGTTCGCTGCACATAGAACTCTTCACCAGCAATGTGGTTACTGCAGCGTCCGCGGACAATCATGCAGAGAAACAAGGAAGGCACCCAAACTTCCTATCCCCTCAAAACACACACTATTAATGGGTATGCACCTAAACTTCATTATCTATCTGTTTGTACATTTCTGTTTGTCTTAAGACTACACAATCTACACTGATTGTATCTACTAGTATCTCGCTTTTCGGCCACACAGGACGACTGACGAACGAAAAGACCAACCCCATTCACAAAAGCGATACGGTCTTAACACAGGACACTGCAAGCTACACATAATCACTCCCGGCAGCACTCCTTTTGAAGAGAACGAAAGCTACGACCGTCCATTGATAGGACGAGCTACGAAGAAGTTTACCGAAGACCAAGAACCTTTATCTTACAACTAAGGAGCGACCACAATTTGGTATACACTAGTCTGTAGAAAAGGTTGGATATCACGACAGATAAAAAAGCTGCGGTGTTGTGACAACTACCACTTAAGTGTGCGGGAAAACTATTCGCTGGATTAGAAATAAGCAAAATTTTTCCTAAACAACATACAAGCTCGAACAAATTGTCAACACGTTTGATAAATATTGATTACTACGCTTCTCAAAATAACGTCCTGAAATTTCCAGCTAGAATACTATGAGTATAAAATCCAGTGAGCTTTAAAATGTGATATAACACTGCGTACAGTTTTACCGACAGAAACCCGTATTTAGGGAGTTCACCGTCAACTAGTTCATTCAAGAGTATTATAATTATAATGAGTGCGATTCTGATGATTTACCCACATGCCACATTAAGATTGTGATATAAATAAGATGGTATTCTCGGAGTTACGTGGTCGAGTTAAAAAGTTCGTATGGAAAATCCCACTCAAATCCTACTGTATAAATGGCCGAACAACACGCCAAACTAATCGCCTTACTAAGCAATTTGAAATGCTGCCAACTGAAGTACATCTGTACCACCCGCTAACAGTGAGGGTATGTTTCAGCGGACGTGACAAACAACTTATTATGTATATAGAAAATAACCTAAAAATCGTTCGACTTTGAGATCGTCAACGCAGGTTACAGAACAAGTGCATCTTATAAGGATTTGTTTAAACAGGTAGCGGAAAATGCACAAATTATATCCAACGCGTACAGAAAAATTTATGCAGCATTATTAAGTAGAGAGTATAATGGAGAAGATTTGTAGCTCAGGTGGATGATTTTGGTGTGGTTGTGTTCTCTGAGCTGGATGGTTTGGTTGCGAAGCTTTCATTGCTCTACTGAGCAACATCTTCAGCGCATACTTCGATGTGAAGTGAGCTTTTAGAATTCTCTATGAGTTTATTAGTCATCTCTTCTAGTAACCTTGAACGTGATTGGTTGTTTTCGTGTGACATTTCATCCCCTAGTTGGTATATACCAACCCATACGAAGAAATTCACACAAAAACAAAGTCAAACTTCAGGTCAAGGAAACAGTCAACACCAAAACAAGTGAACTAGAAAGTGAGAAGTCACACAAAAACAACCAATCACGTTCAAGGTTAGCAGAAGGAATGACTAGCGACATTCAGACCAAAGAAGCAGCCAGCACCGAGACAAGGAAACTAGGGGATGAAATGTCACACGAAAACAACCAATCACGTTCAAGGTTACTAGAAGAGATGACTAATAAACTCATAGAGAATTCTAAAAGCTCACTTCACATCGAAGTATGCGCTGAAGATGTTGCTCAGTAGAGCAATGAAAGCTTCGCAACCAAACCATCCAGCTCAGAGAACACAACCACACCAAAATCATCCACCTGAGCTACAAATCTTCTCCATTATATCTAAATCATACGAGCGGAACACGCTTCTTTCTGTTCGAAAGTGGGAAGACTTCGCCAAACGGCAAGCATCCACCAGAGAACAACTATTTTTTCTCCATGAGTGCCTTCGTCATCAAATTCTACCAACCAGCGTGAGATATAAGCCACCAATCAACTGCCCAATGGGATGGAAATTAGCTGAACAATGTGGAAGAAAAATGGTTAAACTGATGATTACAGATGCACATTATAGAATCAAGAAATATCAACAAATAATGGACCTTGAAAAAGAGAAACTAGAGAAAATCCTCAGCCAAGAACACCTTTCAACAATGATCACCGCAATCGCACTGACAAGTAGTAGACACAGGGAACGTAGACGAAAAGTTCTCAGAACCAAGCTAACCAAAATCAAAAAACAACAGCCGAACAATACACCAATTGATTGCGTAGTCAATTTATCAAAACAGCCGCTGTCAAAAATGGAACAACAACTACTTCAAAAGGGATTAAACTACAACACTGAAGACGCCTCGAAAACAGACTTCTTCGCTGCTCTTGAATCAACACTCAAATCATCAAAATTAGGTGAAGAAACACAAGACGAGATACGTCAAACAATAGTGCCTATAGTTAAACAAAGAAAACGACACACACAACTCAACTCACAAGAACAAAAAGCCCTCGAAAGACTGAAAAACAGGAAAGATATCGTTATAGTACCGGCTGACAAAGGAAGGACTACAGTAATCATGGACAAAGAAGAATACACTGCAAAAGCAGAAGAACTACTCAAAGATCAAACAATATACCAACAACTAACAACAAACCCCATCGAAACACTAAACAACCGAATCCAAAGAACCCTAAGCAAACTCACCAAAACGGGTCAGATCACAAAAGAAGATCAATGGCGAATGAAATCCAATGGACCCGTCATACCTCGATTCTACGGCAGACCAAAAATACACAAGCCAAATATACCTCTACGACCAATCGTATCACTCCCAGGAACCCCAACATACAATTTATCCAAAGAACTATACAGAAGACTGAAACACTTGACGAAATCATGTGATCACTCCATCCAATCTGCGACCCAATTTTTAGAGAAAATCAAAGGCATTGAAATAGACAACCAAGAAATAATGGTATCCTTCGACGTCACAGCATTATATACTTCGATTGGACTAAAACTAGCAAAAGAAACCATGGAACAACTACTCAACAACGATGAACACATACAACAATCAAAAATGCAGCATTCAAGTTGGATGGAATGCATAAACTTGTGTCTCACAACTTATTTCCAATTCAACGGCCAAATGTATGAACAAATTCAAGGGACACCTATGGGATCACCCATATCAGGATTGATTGCGGAAGCCGTCATGCAAAGACTGGAAAACATAATTCTGCCAAAGATCAAACCGAAAATTTGGATACGCTACATAGATGATACATTCGTGATAATCAAAAGAGAAAACTTAGACAACACCCACAACATAATAAACAACACCTTCAACGACATCAAACTCACAAGAGAAGAAGAATATGAAAACAAAATCCCATTTTTAGACGTCTTAATCAAACGAACAACTACAGGAAAATTAGAAACCCAAGTATACAGAAAACCAACGCACACGGATCAAATACTCAATTACAACAGTAACAACCCAACATCACACAAAATTAGCTGCATACGTACATTGTTCAAGAGAGCCAGGACTCATTGTAGCACTCCCGCCTTGAGGAAAATTGAAGAAAATCATCTTATGGACGTCTTCCAAAGAAATGGATACCCACGAAACTTCATCAAAAGACATCTACCCCCAGCTCAACCAACCAAATCAAAGGCCACCAGCGAAAACACAAAGAAAGTCGTCCTACCATATATAAAAGATATCTCCGAAATCACTGCAAGACTATTCAAACCTTTTGGAATCGATGTCGCTCATGAACCAACAAAGTCACTTCACTCAGTTCTATGTAAACCAAAGGACTCAACGGCAAAAGAAGACAAAACTAACGTCATCTACAAGATAAGTTGCAACGACTGTGACAAACATTACATTGGTCAAAGTGGACGCCCTCTTCGTCTTCGCATTCACGAACACAAACTAGCTGTCAAAAGACACGACATACACTCCCTCATATCACTACATGCAGACAACCACGGGCACCAATTCGACTGGGACAATGTTCAAATCTTAGACAAAGGGAACTGCAAAAATGCCAGAGAATTCCTAGAGGCCTGGTATTCAAATGAATCAGCAATCAATAGACACATAGACATTGACAAAATATACCAACCCATACGAAGAAATTCACACAAAAACAAAGTCAAACTTCAGGTCAAGGAAACAGTCAACACCAAAACAAGTGAACTAGAAAGTGAGAAGTCACACAAAAACAACCAATCACGTTCAAGGTTAGCAGAAGGAATGACTAGCGACATTCAGACCAAAGAAGCAGCCAGCACCGAGACAAGGAAACTAGGGGATGAAATGTCACACGAAAACAACCAATCACGTTCAAGGTTACTAGAAGAGATGACTAATAAACTCATAGAGAATTCTAAAAGCTCACTTCACATCGAAGTATGCGCTGAAGATGTTGCTCAGTAGAGCAATGAAAGCTTCGCAACCAAACCATCCAGCTCAGAGAACACAACCACACCAAAATAAGTAGAGAGTAACAGTAAGCTTCAAATTGCTAGGCTAGTGATAGGAGTGATCCTTACTTAAACTTCTTCTTTATCCTGCGTGAAGTATTGTAGTGGGTGTAACGGACAAGAATTTGTAAGTAGTATATCAATTCCGACACCTTCTACAAAAATCTTGAAGTTGAGTTAGAGGACGAAAAAACACCTGTGCAGAATTTATGCATAGAAGTTTCGAATGAATACAAAGAAATAAGAATTTTGTGGAATCATCTGGGGAAATTTGTCCGCCTATTCTCTGTTTTTTTCGCATTTGAAAAATTTCCCAGTCTTTCTCAATCCCGTTTCTGCATTGTGATCTAATGTCCCATCTTTCGAAATCTCTGATCCGCCTCCAAAATATTTTTCTCCACTAGATCCACGTGAATTTTCATAGGCACCTTTCATTCGCCCATCCAAGAGGATCCCTAGGATGACCAGTTTCACCGTTCGCCCGGTGTACAGACCAGGTTCATGTAAAACTCCAAAGTCCATCGGAGAGTTCCCACGTTTTTTCTAGTAGATAGACACATGGCCACAACACCTTGATCTCTGACGAAAACAGTGACACCAGTGTGACAGAAGAATACAATAGTGTTTGGCAGCAGAACTATTAATTTTTCAGAGTGGTGTGTGCCAATGTTGAAATATAAAAACCTTATGTGAAGACTTTAACTTGCCAAAGTTGTTCGTGTCCTGCTTCTTTTTGTATTCATTCTATAGCTCGTATATTGTTTAGGAGTATGTTTCATTATTTCTCTTCAAAACCTAATCCATCGCTTCACTACTCAAGATTCAGGAACAGCGTGACTTACAAATTTTGGCAAACGGTATGCCTTCGGCTAATAATGATCAGCTAATGTAGAGCGGAAATTTGTACGAGTAGCAGCTATTAGCAGCTAAGTCTAATTTAAGATACAAGTATTTTTTAGAAATATGCCTGAACAGACATTTGAATTATTATGGTGTTAACAAGTCAGCGTTCATTAGGTAGATTCTGAAGACGGTCAACCTATTAGCTAACAGGTCATTCTTGACTTCATCAAATGCTTATCAAAAGTTAATATTCTTCAGAAAGTATGTCTTCCACACTCAGAAGACTAATTAATTGCATTCTCTGGAGGCGTATGACCCAATCTATACATTGATGGATTACTCTAATCAACTTCTGTCTTAGTATCCTATAAGAACATTACTTAACATTGGAATGGAGGCCAAAACTAATGACAATCATGTGAAGAACAACGAAAAGACAGCAAGTTTTTCACTAAGTTTTGTGATATAGCAACGTAAACCACAACCTAAAGAAACTTACAGTGATTGATTACACAAGCTTATCGAATTTCAGGGTCAAAATTGAAGTCATTCTTAGCCACCGTCAAGTGGCAGCCGGAATAATTACATATAGTATGTCTACTAAGAGGACTGAACCATGTTCACTAAATGCATAAGATGTCTG